GGGAACACAATATGAATCCCAAGAGCCCACGTATTATTGTAAAAATTCGCCCACTTTTTTTTAATAAAATATAAATTTTAATAAAAAGAAAATTTTTTTTTTTTAAAAACACAAACGCAAAAGTAGGTTGAAATCTTAAAAAGTCCTTTAACAGCGATTTGATTTTTTTTCTTCCTCAGTGTTAGCACATCCAAATTCATAACAAAAAAAAAAAGAGAAGTACAACAAAAATCTCTAGTTTTTGTTGTTTTTTCCAGCATTTTCATTCCCATTAGACCTGCTTTTGCAATATAATCTACCAGTTTTCAATCACATATCGTGCGTAAAGTCGTTGAGTATGAAAAAAGCAAATATGTTCGTGTGTATGTTTTTTACTGGCTTTGTATGTTTAAAACTCCTTTTTTTTCTCGTTTCTTATTTGAAGGCTTGAATTTTTAATATTAAAAATAGGATAAAGAGAAAAAGCAAATAAATTCGATTCTTTTTTTTTTAATATTTCTGTTTTTGAATTTTTCATTTTTTCATCACATTTTATTCGACACAAAAGAAACCACATTGAAAGATTGGGTTTTCTTTTTTATAAAATTTTTTTTTTTTTTCAAAAAGGTATTTTTCACCACAATTTTTTTGTTATATAGAAAAAGAAATATTTTTTAAAACCGCATTTTTTTAAATTGTTTCTGTTGTCAATCTTTTTGTCAGGCACTATTTGGTCTATATATAGGTTAAAAACACATAATATTCTTTTGGGTAAAGTTTGTTGCCATTACAATCTAGTTGAAGAGCTGTCAAATTTACGTCAAATCGGTTTTATACTGTCATAAGTTTTTTTTTTTTTTAATATAATTTTATATAAAATATGCGGTGATTTTGATATTCGTTTGCTCATTTTTTATTGTTACTGTACTGGTAACTGTAGTTCTATTGCAGTTTTAAGGCTACTGTAGTTCTATTGGTTCTATTTGTGCCATTATATATATTTTTCAATTCTTTTTGGTACTTTTTGAATATTATTTTAATGCCACTTGCATTCCCTTTCAAATATAAAACTCCAATAACACGCCGGACTATAGTTGGGGGAAGTTTGGAAAATGCGGAATCCTTACTTTGCATCGAAATTCTAAGATTTAACTTCTTAACTCAAATATTGAAGATTTTCCATTTAATTTCCATAAAAAAATATGTAGTCATCTAATGGAATAAATTTGTATAACAAATATTTTTTTTGAAGGTTGGTATAGTTTCGAATGTTATACATATGCATGCATATATATGTATAACAGTTGAGTATACCGCGTAACTGTTATACATTCAATCTGTTACCAAAAATATACCCAAAAATGAAATGTTAAAATTGTTTTTAAACGGTATAAAAGCTTTTATATGAATATGCGCTTTCAAATATTCCTTAAATTTATTTCTTCCTTGTATTATTTATTTCCAATCAATAACTCTATAAAATGTATTTTATATAAGGTAAAACAAAATATTTATTATACGCACGTTTTAACTCTTTTCGATCGAACGTTTTATGCTTTTGTGTATAATTTTTTCTAAAAAAATAATCTTCTAAAATTTCATATGTTAAAATTCTTAATGTAAATGTAAGTAAGTGAGTAGTATTAAAGTAAAGATGATTTAAAATAGATATTTAGAAGATTTCTTTTAAGGCATGGTACACACGAGTTAATAATTTTGAAAAGAAATGGAATACAGGTGTGGAGAGTGTTGCATGAGTTCCCTATCTTTTTCATTCTTCATTTACTACTATTATAACTAGGATATATGTACTCGTAATTTCATCAAACCTATAATAATATTAAGATTTTTAACAAAATTCCAGTTGTGATTTTAAGGTCTATGATCTTGTAAAAAAATTTTTTAAATCGGTTGAATTTTTTTATTGGAAATATGAAATATGTCAGAATTTACTTTCGTATATTGAGTGACAAATTCAATATAAAATAAATGACGGTTTGATTTTGTGACAGCCCCTGAATCATTTTCTCTTAATGGTAATTTCTAATTCATATTCAAATTTGACTTTTATTTTTCAATTTTATTTAAAATTAATATTATGCAACTTATACGAGTATATTTATTGGTTTGGTTTGAATTGGTAAAAGCATTTTCATGTTCTCTTTCCAATACGTGATTTTGAATAAAAGATGAAGTTTTCTCTCTTTTGTTATTACTTTTACTTATTTCATATATTATGTATATATGTGTGTATTTAATTTTACTTTCTATTCATGAAATCTGTAAAGGATAAATTTTTTGTTTTGTTTTTTTTTGATAAATTCCTCCTGTTTTGAATTCATTTCATTTTGCGTGATATTTTAATTTATTCTATATATGTATACTCTTTCAAATATTAAAATTAGGTTATTTGTAGAATTTTAATGAATGTATCCATTATATACGAATGTATGTATAGGTGTATTTTTAGGCAGTAATCATTTCTCTTGTTTACGATTATGTTTATTTATAAGAAGAAAGTATAAATATATTTTGCTGTACATTCGCCGACTTTAGGTACTTGAAGAATATTGCGCTTAGTCTTTCACATACATATCTTGCCAATTTATATGAAAAAACGGAACTAGACTACACTTATCGATAGTCATAAATAAATTTTCAAAAAGCCGCAGTATAGTCATCCCTGTTATATGCAATTAATTATGTATGTTTATTTTATTTAATATTTCTGATCATTTTCTGACTGATTGTGAATTATATTGTTTTCTGCTTATTTTTTTCCACGTGTACTCGCTACCATTATAACTACAAGTAATATTAATGTCGTTATGAATTTAGAATAAAAATAAATCATGAGTCATCAAATAATCTTTAATTGATTTTATTTCAAAAAAAAAAATTATGATAAATAATTATTATAAGTTTTTTTTTCTCTTAGGGAGTAGTGGAAGTTTAATATGTGCTTCAATACTGTAATAAAAAATATTTGTAATTGAGTGAATTAAGACAATAAAATAATTTTGATAAAAAAGATTTCAGTTTGATTTTATTAGTTGTTTATGGATCCAATATAATTTAAAAGTATAAATATTAAAAATTAATTTTTAATCAAATATTTACAAATACTGATTTAGTCTATTTCATCGTTTACTTCAACTACATATGTATGTGTGCTTAACATGATAGACATATATGCTAATAAATTTAAGCTTTGATAAAATAATATAATAAACCCTTATTTGGTGAGAGGATTTAAATTATAATTAGGAAGCAAATAATATATGTTTGTGAAAAGTATTACTCTCATAGAAAGTTGCAAAAAATAATAGGAAACTTCTCTCCTTATAAGTTTTCACAGCATAAAACTTAAAGTCAAAGGAAAATTAAGGACATATCACTTAAAGTGGATTAATTGGTAAAATCATTTAAGGTGGTTTAAACCCCCCGGGCGTTTACCACCCTAATAATTAAACAAATTGTGAATTCCTCATTAATTTTATAACAATATAAAAGTCTTCATTTACCAAACTAAATTTAATTATTTATATTGTGATTACATTCCTTTTCAAAGATTACAAAGAATAATATTAATATTGTAAAATATATTTAATCCGAATGCTTAGCAACATGACAGAATTATTTTTGATTATCTTTCTTTTTCAATAATAAAAAAATCTTCTTTAATTCAATTTAGTTAATAAAAATATGACAATATTTGTATATGAACATGTAAGTAGGTATGTAAGCAAAATTTATTTATATAGAAAATCTTTTTATAATTTTGCAATTTTCATTTCACATCTTTTTGCGTGTACTTGGATTAGTCTTCATTTTCATTTAAAAATTTTCATAATAAACGAATTTTTATGTATTAAAATAAAAAAAACATTCCGTATACGTATCCGTCCGTCTATTCACAATAATTTGAATTTATGATTTTTTATGAGCAGAAGAGATTTCGCATCAAAAAGGCATCATTAAAAAATTGGATTATAAGAAAATTAATTAAATATTGAAAATTCAAAAAAAGTGACTAAAATAAAATGAATTAAATTTGAAAAATTATGAAAATGCATCGTTATTCGGAGCTTTCTTCCAAAACGGTCCCATATCATCCTTTCAATTGAATTTCATCCAAAAATTTAAAAAGCCTTATATATTGTTAATGTATTGTGATAACTTTGTATGACTGTTTTCCATATGGGTTAGCATTTCTTTTCTCATAACCTTATTTTGGTAAGGTTTTTTTATTATATAAATTATCTTCTTCATATTTTCAATTTATTTATGATTCTGTAGTTTCATTATCGACCATGAAATGTACTTAAACAAATTCCAATTTTCAATAAAACTTTTTTTGTAAGATTTTTTTTTTTTTCTGAACTGCACACAATATGTATCAGATGTAAAGTAATGCGGTATAAAGGATTTTCTGAAAATTGAATTTTTTTTTAAAAGAAAAAAAAAACAGCATGAAAATGAGAGTATCTACCCACAGAATATAAAAAAATATTTTTATATTCTTTAATCTTAAAAGTCTTAAATCAATGGATTTGTTGAATTTTCTTTTATATTCTTATTCCCTTATTTAGAATATTCAAATGTAATGTAGAAAAATTATAATGCTGTGTGGATTTAGTAAGTTGACCTTCCCGAATCTTACAAAAGAAAATTTTCTTTGAGTTCATCTTAATTCTTATATAGTATAGATGAAATATATGCTGATATTCAGTTTAAAGAATGTGGAAAATGTACTTGTTACTGCAACTTATTCTATTGTAACTGCAACTTATTCTTAAAATTAATTAGAAAATCTATCTTCCTGGTACAATTTCCATTACGGTATTTTGCATTAATTTCACCCATTCAATTCAATATTTTAGGTTATTGAGCCTAAAAGAGAGAAAATTTTAGTAATTCAAAGTTGTGTTTAACATGTTACTTATATTTTATTTTAATTTTATCTCAAATATTTAAAATTTAATTAAAAATTATTAATATCTGTTAACGATTTGTTTCAGTTATCGAAAAATCAAAAGGAATCTTTGAACTTTAAGTGGGATTATGGTATTAATTCATATAAGCAATGGATAATGCAGAAACAATAACTAATATAAATAAATAATTATTTTAATAATTATACAAAAAAAAAATTGTGGTTTAAAAACTATCTTAATTAATATTTAATATAAAATTAATTACATTTTATTGAATATTTAAATAAATAATTAAAAAGAAAATCAAAAAAAAAAAAAACATTTGAAAATGTTTCAATACTGGGAAAATTTTATCCGCAAAGTGAGCCTTATAGCAGTGTTAATCGTTTTTTCAATACATTACGGTAAATTTACAAGATAATTTCAAAATTCATTCATATTTAATTTATTTATAGAATCAATTAAAAAATATTTAATTTCGATAGTAAATGTAAAAATAATAATTATTTTTTGTTATTTCAGTTTATTCTATAGACTGTTTTAAATGCGTATCATTTAATAGAAGTAATAAAGCATGTGACGATCCATTCCATAATAATTATTCAACAGCAATTCTTGAATCTCCATGTATGGGTGGACGTAAGGGTAGAGATGGTCTATTTCCAGCTACAGCTTGTATTAAAATTGCTGGCTATTATGGTAAAAAAATTTTTCTCTGTTAAATAATAATTAAATTTGAATTGCTAATGAAAACCAATACTTTTTAAGATGATACTGGTGAAACAATAACAGTACGTGGATGTGCTCTAGATAGCGGAACATTAACAACCGATACAGAATTAATTCGTATGTCCCATTGTGGTAGATTTTTCTATGATAATCGTTATGTTCATGGTTGTCTACAAAGTTGTAGTGATGCTGATGCATGTAATGGTGCTGATAACATTAAAATTAATAATATAAATCCATTACGAATTTTCATAATTGCATTTTTCTTATTCGCTATAATAAATTTTAAATTAAGATAACAAAATTTTGTAAAATTTTAAAAATAAAACCAGTACAGCATATCAAATTTTCAAAATAATAAAACAAAAAAAAAACAAACCATAAACATTAAATGGTATCATTTTTTTATATTTATAAAAAAAAAAATATGTAATTAATTTTCTTCAAATTACTATACATATGGATGTATGTATGTATAGACGCATAATTCTTTTTTAAGTAAAAAAATTTTTCAAAAACGAAACATAATGTTTAAAATACAGAAATTTTTTTAATGGTAATACAAAAAAATATAATTCAAGAAAAATTAATTAAAAAAAAAACAAAAAAAAATTTTTTTTGTAAACGTTAAAGTGAGTTTATTGTTGAAAAAAAAAACTAAATAATAATAATTAAACTTGTTAAAAAAATTAACTGAGAAAATTGTTACAAATTAAAACAAGTAAATTAAATAAATATTAAACATTAAATTCAATAATAATTCAAGCAACAAGAGCTAATATAGCAAAATGCTAACAAGAGATTGAATGTACGATAAATTCATTATTCAAGATTTCCTCTAAGGAAAAAATCTTTGTTTTCCTATACAGCCTTCTTTTTTTTTACACAGAATTCGAAGTTTTTTAATTGAATAATAATTTATAAAAATTTGTGTAGTTTCTAATTTCAGTTATTTACCATTTGTACCCTTTCAGGAAGTAAAATTTTCCTCAGTAAGATAATTTTTTAAAAGTATGATTTAAACCCATGGAAAAAATAGAATGCTTATCATACAGTCATTATCAAATGCTTATACTTAATACTTCTTGAACGTTTTACAATATGCAACATTCTATATTTGAATATAAGTTAAATTTATTATATACAAATAATATAAATGTAACAAACCAATAATATGAATTAACAATTATAGTACATATATTCAAAATAACATGTATGTATATAGTTAAATAATGGTATAAATTTGTATAAAATATAAAATAATATCGTAAAATTTCAAATCTATTCATAATTATTCATTTATTTCAAGTCAAATATTATTTAGATTATTTAGATTTTAATTCTTTTCCATTTTTTAATAATTTTAATATAGAATTATTTAGTATTAAAAAAGAGAATTTAAAGATAGTTAATATTTAAAATCATCAAATATTATTCATGACTCATAAATTATATAAATTTTCTGCAAAAATCCTAATTATAAACAGATTCTCGTTTGTATTTGTTTTCTATTTATTTCTTTTACACTTTTCTATTTTAATTTTCTTGTAATTTAAGATTTTCTAAAAAAATTAGTAAAATTGAATTAGAATTTGTTATTAATGATACAAAATAGTTAATTTCATTTCAGCTTTTATATTTAAACTAAAAGTATTTTATTTGAATAGATAAAATTCTATATATTCATAACTAAGTTTAAACTCTTGTCAGAAACATAATTACTTTACGGGAACTTTACGAGAAGAGTCATAAAGATATAACTGTGGAAATGTCCATTTACTGTTTCGTGATGACTTACAAAAATTTTTTTTTTACATATTTTAATTTAAGTTTAAAAAACTTTGAATTTGTTTTCAATTGAAATTTAATAGAGTATTGTTGATGCATTTTAAAAATCAAATATAAAAAATACTTATTGATCACATAGAAATACGTAGTTACTTTATGATAATATATAAAAAAAAGGAAACTGCTTTTAAAATAATGAATAATAGCATTAAAAAATTGGATAGATTATTTAAAAAGTAAACAAAATATCAAGATGATATCAATTATCTACTCTGTGTTAACATTTAATCGAATATTAATGAATTTATACATTTATAAGAATATATCTAAAAATTTACGCATTTTACACTGATATTATTATTTATTTTCATTATTATGTATCATAATAGTCTAATTTCATCATAAATTGAAAAAAAAAACAAAATAAAAATTAAGCTTAATATATTACAATATTAAAATTGCACTATTAAACCATAAAATTTACTGTTGGAATGTTATTTTAAATAACAAGAATTTCAATAAAAAATATAAAAGTAAAAAAAAAATAAAACACGCTTTGTGCTTAACGAAAAACATTCTTTAATTGTTATTGCAATTCTAGCAGAAATACAATTAAGAAATAATAAACTTTATAAAATTTCAGTGATCACATCGTATAACTTACATAAAATTTTTTTGTCAATCTAGTTTTTACTTTTTATTTTAAATATAGTTATATAAAAATTCACTTACGAAACAACTGATTTATTACAATTTATTTTAACTTGACACTGAACAATTTCAAAAAAACCTACTTTTTATTCTAAAAATGATATGACCAATTTTAATAGTTCTGTAATTTTAGAAGTAATATTAAAAATGTTAGATATAAAAATTTCAATTACGTTTACAAAATAATTACGTAAAACTATGTTTTTTACTTGTAGTAATTTCTTTTGGTGTGATCAATATATTAAATTAACAAAAATATTTAGTATTATATTAGTATATATTATATAATATATACATAATTTAGTTAAACCAAAGCATTTAATAAAAAAAAAGGTCTTTTAGGCCGAAGTTAAATCAGAAAATATATCACTTATGTTAGTTTTTTTTTTAGAAGAATTTATAAATCAGTAGGAAAATTTTCATAACTAAACATTAAAATAAAATAAAGTTAATGAAAAATTTAAATAACATTGTTTCTTTTTTTATCCTAATTTCAAATTATTCTTCATTTAAGTATTTTTCATCATCTTCAGTGAATTTTTTAGATATATCCTCTGGTACAACAATTTCTTTGTAATTATCCAATCCTATCTCTTCTTCTTTCCTACAAAATTTAAGATAAATTTAATTAAATATGCTTATAAAATCATAATATGTACATTATGTTATTTACTTTATTAATATATCAACAACATTTTCGCATAATAGTAAAGCTTTTTTGTCTTTACCGACATTCAATTCCCATTTATGATATTCTCTGAGAATTTCATATGTTCCTTTAGATCTCAAAAATTCTCTATGTTTTTTTGTTGCACAGAGTTGTAGTAGACATTCCAAAAGCATTACCCTTAAATCGGGATCTTCTTCACGACATTTTGTTTCAGGCATATACTAAATTAGTATGTGTATATTTAATTTTGTACATGTTATATTTAAGGAGTTTACCTGTAATTCGATTGGAAATTTTTCATTTTCTTCATCAGTATATTCTTCTGGTCCTATCAATGGATATAGTAAACAATGTAAAATGTCATCTTTATCGTTTAATACGAAGTCATGATATACTGGATCAAAGCAAATATTTTTTAGTATGCCAATTGTACCACCTCTACGTATCGTATTTTCATTATACGATGTAAAAGGAATTATTTTTTCCATTAAATTATATTTAGAATTACAAATTAATTCACGACCTTTTGTTGTTTGGGTTAAATTACAAAAAATTGGTCCCAGATAATGTAATTTTGCTTTTGCTATATTATAATCTATTTGAGTAAAAGCTTTTACCAGATCAAGAATAATTTTTTCTTCACTTTGTAAATTTTCTAATATTTCAGGAACTAAAGTTTCAACCCTTGTCAAATTACCTAAAATATTTGGAAAACGTTTATAAGTAATGTAATATTTTATTATTCAGTTATTAAAATAAAAGGTGCATACTTATAACCATAGTCCATGGATCCGCAAGCTCTGAGTTTTTGTTTGTTATTGATTCTATAGCTTTAAATACTAATGGAAATTTCTAAAAATTAAAAAAGGAAAACTGTTTATAAGCACTTAATTTAAAACGCAATATTAAGTAAATTACTGGTTCAATATTTTTGCTCGTTTCAAATATTTTTATTGCATCAGTGGTATTTGCTGTCAAATTAATTAAGGATAGGATTGCATCTTTAGCTACAGAAGTATTTGAATCTTGAGTTAAATAAAATATTGATTCAACTATATCTCTTAGTTGAAAAATGCAATCTCTTCCCTCTTTTGAGCCAGTCAAACCTAAAATTAGAACGTTGCCGTGGTAAATTTTATGACCTCGCCTAATTAACATTCAATAGTTTGACAAATCCACTTTTTGTCATTTTTGTATACATATCTTGTTCATGTGTATGAAATACGTACCTAAAATATGCGTTAAAGAAACTGCTTTCAAATCTAATCTTTGATATGGCTTCAAAAATTGCGATAATTCTTTTAAACTTTCCATTAAATATAATTTTTGTCTTAATTTTTATTTATAAGTCAATATTTTTGTTTTATTTGCAAAATATTCACGAACACTTTATGACTTTGTTGTCATTTGTGTATAAAAATGAACAAAAACAAATTTGGCACATGTTGAAACGTCATTTTCCAACCGGTTAAGTTAAAATTAAAATTTTACCGCAACTTTCCGAAAACAAAAGAAAATCTCTCGTAGTCGCTATCTGGTGAGTAAATTAGTGACTATATATTGCTGAGCTTAATTGTGTATGTACATAATTTTTTGATTTTACTTGACAGATTGTTTCAAATATGTACATATGTATTTGTTTACATATTAGGTTTTTAGCTCAAGGGACAAACATTAAAACTTAACTTGATAACTAAAATATTTTTCTCCAAAACGCCAAAGTCTCTGCCGATATTGTTGTACTATACATGTTATCATAGCGCTGTTTTAACTTGAATTTCAACTCAGCTTACAACTAATATTGATATTGGTTTATGTCTTCGCTAGCGTAATACATACATTTAATTCTTTCTGTTCATTCAGTTTTTCGAAAGTTAATTACAGATGGCAGCAAAATCGTTTTATGGTCCTTTTATGAAAGGACATTTGTTCAAATTTAAATTAATGACATATAAATAAAAATTAATATTGACAGTAATCGGTTATTTAATTTACTTTATATATTTTCAATTAATTTATTAAAAAAAAGCAAAAAATGATTGGTGCAATAAAAGCTTGATACTAAGTACATAGTTTCAAATCAGTTAAGCTAGATTTCTTATTAAAAGTAAATTAGCACGCAGTTAACGGTTTTGTCTAATTATAGTATACATAGTATATAAATATATACAAATTGTAACAAATCATTTAATATTATATATTTTTATTGCTTAGGTGCTGGACACTGAAAATGGTCGAAAGTCGTTGATCTAGAGAAATATTTTTAAAATTTCTGCTGTAACAAATGAGAAGCAAATCGAAAAAACCAATTTAGCGATTTCCAGGGACTTTCTTTCTTAGGTTTTTTTTTACACAAAGTCTGAGATAAGCGACTAATATCGATCGATAAGAGCAACACTAACAAAATTTCTAGCTATAATTATCTAGCGACTTTTTTCTGCAACGTCAACACTAGTACGTGTATTTAAAAAAAATAATCATGTACTCGTAATTTTAGTAACATTTTAAAATGTGAAAATTCGTGGTTTTAAATGTGAAAAAGTGAAAATAATAGTGTGATTAAATGTGAAATTAAATTTTTATTAAATATAAAAAGTCCTAAATTTGAAATTGAATGCTACATTCTTTTCATTTTGGAACATGTTTAAAAGAACAGCAACCGGAATTAATCCAAAAGTTGCTATTTTGAGAAAACCTTTTTTTTTTTAGAATTGCGGTAACAATTAATAAATTTTCATATCAATTTCATTTTAAAATTGCATACATATGTACATAGTTTTATAAAATAATTCAAAGTACATATTATTTAAATATGTATGTATTTCATTTTTATTAAATTACTACACTAGTTCCAAGCAAAAATAAATTTCACATCTTTTCAAGTTAATGAGGAAAAACGCAGAATCAAGGTATGAAATTAATCGTTATTATTAATTAGCTCAATGTCATGACTTTTGTTTTATTTATTAAGTAGGTTACTTTATTCATTTGTTAACTTTTTAAATTTATTAAGAATTTTCATAAAATAATCCTTTTGTTATTTGCAGGTTTTATTCTTATTAACTGACCTACTTTTAAAATTGGGTACAGAAAGATAATAAATTATTAAAATGATATACTTATGTATAACTAGTGCATGTACGCATATACAACTTTATATATTTTGTGTCCTCGTTAAACATTAAAAATGAATTTCCGTGGACAAAAATGGTTATCGGAAAGTAAAACTTGAAAATTCATAATTTATTAAATTTCACTTTTTTCATTTTAGAAAATAATTCTTTCAAGAATGTTATTTATGTACTTTCTTTGTTAAGAGTAAAGAACGAAATCAAAGCAGAATATGTAAAATTGGTATAAATCTCTTTTACACTGTTTCTCACAAGTATTAGTCATTGTGATAAGCCATTACTTAAAATTTTTATAATATGTAAATTGAATATACTACTTATATAATATAATGATTCTGGAAAGCAGCACTTTTCATCAAAATAAGACTTGACATCAAAAATAAGACTTGATATACAATCAGATATTAAATGCAATTAATTTCCAGATGCAAGATACTGTGCAAATTTTTTAACTCATCGACATACTTATCGTTTAAGAATTGTGTAGAAGCAAGATTAATTTACCCGCATAAAAATAGAAACATATTAAAAGCATAGTAAATCGATGAAAAAGCGATAATTTTGAAAGTTTATAAAATTATTGAACTCTTATATTTTTGTTTAGAAAAACAAAATTTCACGTTTTCATAAGAAAATTAAAGAATTATTTTATGAATGAAAATTGTACACTAACTGAAGCACGTATACATTATATTAATTAATTAATTCGCGTAAATGCGCAAACTATAGATTTATTTAAATACATAATGTTTATTTTATTTAAGTATTCGTAAGTCACGTTCTCGTATTTTCAATTATTCAAAAATTTTCATATTATAGAGTGACCGACCGCCTTTTATTCTTCAAAATGTTTCAGTAATTTAAATGTGAGAATGAAATTTGAATGAAAATTATAACAAATATTTGAATTTTAATTTACAATGTATTTACTTAAAATATTTATTATATAAAATATTTTTTCAAAACTTTAAATTTAATCTCGAATCTAAGCCTAATTCGTCCAAATTTATGTGTCTACTTAAATAACTTCATTTAAGTAACTTCATTTAAAGAACTTTTGTATAGTAATTTTGTTGGTTTTCCGTTTATTGTGGAAACACAAACAAATTTTTGTGAAATCGTTTATTTTTCAATTATTTTTACTTTTAAAAATGCATTTGAAAATTCTTAATAAACATAATTTTGATTAAGGAAATTCGTTTCGAAAATGATTCGGATATGACGTAAATTCAGTAGAAAATATGTAGTATAAGCACCTGTGGATTTAGTAAAGAATATTGCCAAATGTGTTTGGTGTCTGGGTTTCTTTGTTTAATTAAATATTTTTGGCCAAAATATAAAAGTCATAAGTAATTCATTTTTATTATATTTAATACAATGTTAATTTAGAGTAATGGTATTCTGGCTATAAAAAATAGAGAACAATTTAGCTATAATTGAATTTAATTCATTTTGTATAACATACGTACGTATGTATGTGAATTATACTGCAAAGAGGCATTAATATTCAAAAGCCCCAATAACACACACACAGTTTAATTATTTTTTAAAATAAAATATATACACATGTACTAAAATATAAGGTGTAAATAATTATTTTAATAAAATTCTAGGATTTTAGGATCTCAAACGGTCTGCTTTATAATTGCTTTATTTAAATATCTTATAATATGATAATGGAAAATTAGTGTTTTTCAAGTTTATTGTAGCAGATAAGAAAATTTTCGGTCAATAAATTATTCAGCACGTTTTTCTATTAAAGATAACTTTAATAGAAACGAAAGCACATCCAGGCATCCAGAGAAAAACAAAAACATCTAAACTAAAGAGGTGGACAGAAAAAAAAAATTTTTTTAACAGATTTTTAAATTTATAATTTTCCTTTTATGAAATAAATTTTAGACTTTGGAATTTTTTTTTATAATAAAATTTAAATTTTCACGCTTTTATACAAAGTAAATTTCTTAGAATTTTTGTTGCTGCTCTTTTTGATGGTTTCCAACCAAAGAAAAAAAAATATTAATAAAAAGACTTTTTATTTTTTAAAATTTAATTGAAGGACTTTTGATTTATATGTAGATTTTTGTATATATCGTAAATAAAGTAATTTCCCCAAATTATTTTATCCTTGTCTATTTGATCAATATAAGAATATTTTTGTGTATGAAAATTTAATATATAAAATGATTTCTAGGACATAGGTTTTATTATGTAAATTTTAATTTTTAAAGTTATAAAATATAATTTTAGTTTAATGTGTTTTCCCAAAAAGTTTCCAAGGAAATATAACAAAAAAATATTATGGAGAAAAATGAAATTTAATATTCTAAAATTTAAATGATCTAGGAAAATCTTGCCAGACTATGTTTATAAAATAAGGATTATTTTATTAAAAATTAATTAAACAACATGAAGGAATATGTAATGCCAGACTTTCCAAAAAAAGTGTAATTTATTAATTACAGTTCTAGATGAAAATTAAATTGGATTCGTTCAGTGTGAGAATTTTAAGTTAGAAGATGGAAAAATACTTATTCAATTCAATTCATTTAAAATTTAAAAAAACACGGTCCATTTCTAGCTCAATTAAATATCAAGCTAGTTTTATGGGTTTTTTATGGCATTTTTTTTCTATACACTTCTAACATGCCTATTAAAATCAGGACAAAACTTATGGCTATGGCTGAAATGGCTGAATTCATTAAATATAATCAAACATAATCGAATAAACATATATAATTTACTTTCTAGAATATAGAGAAGTTGAAAATGAAAATCTAAACATTTTCTTCCTACAAATCCTTGAAATAAATTTTTTTATAAAATCAAATGTTTAATCACGGAAGGGAGAAAGAATATGTTCTTAAGGTCTTGTTGTGCCTTATACTTTTTCCATCTTCCAAGATTTTTACAATGCCTTTTATTTGATTTTTAACTTTTCAACTTAAAAATACAATAAAATTTTATTTCTATTTTACGTGATTTGTAATGCAAATTGAAATTATGATAAAATTGAAAGAATGCATTCTGTAATAAATTCCAATTTTATATAAAAACAAAAATGAAGAAAAAAGTTGATGCAAATTTTTACATTGTGTTATAAAATTGATTTTAGGATTTGAATGTTTTCCACAAAATAAAAAAGTGTTTTCTTTTTTTTTTGAATTTTATGAATGTTCCCATGAATGTGCTCGTATGTATACATAGTTTCTTAATTACTTTTTTAGAAGTTTGTACATTTAAACTCGAACTAGGTATGCGAA